CGGCGATGTTCTCTGCTGATGGGACCCGCGCAAACCACGGCGAACACCGGGTGCGTGCGATGAGGAACCACATGGCGTGAATGATGCGGGAGTGGTCCCAAGCGGAAGCGCGACCGCTCCGCACTGCCCCTTCTGCGCCCACATTGTCGGACCAAATCACCACTCGGCGGTCCGCCAGCAGTTCACTAAAGGTAGCTAATCCCAGCGCTATAGCGAGCAGTTCTAACGCCATAATCTGAGAGTCCCGGCGCGGCGCCAAGTCCTCCAGCAGCTCCTGGTCTGGAGGGGCGTCGGACCAGAAGGCGCGACCATCGACGAACAGCACGGCGGCGAGCCGTGGATCGGACCCGCCCCTTGCGTCAGCGAACAAGTGCACTTCTTGCCGTTCCAGCTGCGCCCACGGCTTGGACTGATGGATGCCGAGGGCCAGCACCTCCGCCCACCATGACAGCGCCAAGTTGAGCGGGGCGCGAACGACACCCCGTCGCGCATTCTGCTGCGCGAACAGGGGCTGCAACATCGCACGCCCTAGCCGCTCGAAGCAATGTTGACCTGCCCAGCTGAGAGCGCCGGCCAGCTTGCTGGCTTGGCCGGCACATAGTGTCCCGCAGTCGAGCGCTTGCTTGATCAAGAAAAGCCACTTGCGCACCTTCTTGGGCGCGGGAAACAAGTTGATCCCGCTGAGAGAAAAGGACACATGCAGGCCCAAAATCTCCAGCTCGTCGCCACATTCCAGCTTCTTATCGGAAACCGCTCCTGGACCTAGGAGCAGGCGCACTAGTCTGGCCAGCGATGCCATGGTATGCTCTTTAGTTGCGGGTGCGCACGGCCCAAAGAAATCGTCCACGCATCGGAGGGTGGGAATCTTTAAGAGCTTGCGGGCGAGGTGCGCCAAGGCAGCTCCGACTCGGCCCCACCCAAAGACGGCAGCCAGGGCGCCGAACATCAACGCCAGGTGACCAGTGACCCAAATGTCTCCGTCGTGCAAATACGTGCTGTAAGCTGCCCACCTGTGGCAAGGCCGACAACGACACCGCAAACGCCGGGTTCCTCTGGAACCCCGACACGAGCCCCCAGGTCGATGCTTTTAACGGGGGGGGGCACCCGGAAATCCCGAGCCTGTGTTCAGGAGCGATAGGCACACGCCGGTAAGCGGAGTCGACGTCGGTAAGGCCCCCATTCGTTCTTTCGCCGGCGTCCCTTCCGGTAGCACGACGACTGCACCAACAAACCTGCTCACGCGGATAGGTGTGAGGGTTGCTGGAAGAAGAAACGACGCCATGAACATTAACTTTTGGCGCTCCGCGCGGATTTCTTGGATCCGCGCTGGGGCCCCCCCAGAGGCGCCTCCGGCGCCGCCCCTGGCGCGCTCCGGGCGCCAGGGAGGGGGGCCCAGCGCAGATCCAAGATGTCGGCGCAGAGCGCCAATAGTTTATGCTCATGACGGAGCTTGCTTCTGCCATGCCCTGGACTCGCAAAATACAGCTTGCAGCAGAAGACCGACGTCGGCGGCGGCTGCTCGATGCAATGGCTGCCCTCGGAGCGCTAGGCATGGCATCACCGTGGAGCCCCGGCCGGGCGGGCCTCCAGCAAGATCCATCGGGAGCCTTCAGACGGGGGTCAATGCAAACGGGCGTCAGCCAGAGCGCCCGATCGCGCAGGATCCTGCAGGGCCAGGGTCGCATTCGCCCGGGCTTGGGTGCAGGATCCTGCTGCTTGCAAGATCCTTCGCGTTGACCCGGGCTTGGGTGCAGGATCTTGCAGGATGTTGCAGAATTCTGCAAGGCAATGACTGACCCGGGTCTGGATTGACCCGGCTCAGAAGATCCCCGAACCCAGGGGTCCCAGACCATGCCACCAGCCCCTTGTGGTCGCATTCAGATAAAGCGCTCTTGACCCCGGCGCCAACACCAGTCTCAGGCCCATCGTCTGCCACGCTTCGTCCTCCTGGGTTCGAGCGTAGCTCGGCGGCTACCTCGAGCAGGCTCTGTGCGGGCGGGTGCGGCGGCGCGTGCCCAAGAAGCGCGGTCGCCCATGGGCGGCGCAGAGCCTAGAAGCAGAGCGGCCGTCGTCAGCGCAGGGGGCCACTTCGGTTTCTGGTGGGCCTCCTTCTCCTGCACTCCGACCCGCGTTCACGCGGGCACTTCTATGTTTCCAGCGTGCGTGCTGTATGCGTGTTCGCCGACCTTGCCACTTTCACACTCTGCCGTGCTGTCCCACCACGTGCCACGACGACCACGACACGCCGTTCCACACACGCACCATTGCGACAACCAAAACTATTGTCGACACCATCATTATCCGCTACAGTCGGGGCCCTGAAGAAGGAACCTTTTTCGTTGGGGAGGGGCTCGGTGTTCCTTGATTGCTTCACAGTTTGCCTTGGGTTTTCCCTAGGTCTTCGATAGGAAATCGAAGTTCAACTTATGGAAAAAAGGGGCCTCGTTCCTTATTTGGGGTTCCTTAGGGCAACGCCCCGACTGCAACACTACCACTGACATTGACACCTTCACCGGTGGCCACTGCCGCTGCCACTACCACTGCCACTGACAAGCACCAGGTCCCAATGCCACCGGGAAGTTGCACAAGCACCGCCACCACCTCCTGAGAAAATTGCTGCCACTACCGGCACTGCGACGCTGAGCAGCAGAAAGACTCTGACTTCCACGGGCGCCACGCAATTGGGTAGCGCCGTGGGGCTCAACAGTGGAGAACAGCACGACTGACGTCCACAGGTGAGACGAGCATTCTGGCGTGCGCCAGTTCGTTGAGCAGGACGACGGTGTCGAGAGTCCAACCAGCATGAGTGAGAGCGGCACAACGTTGTTGAGCTGCACGACTGGCATTAGCAGCGCGATGCAGGGTCACATGTGATAGTGGGCAGCACGACGGATAGACCAATTACAGGTTAAATCAGAAGCAAGATCGTGAGTAACACGCCGGGGACCACGAGCACCTCGTCAGTCACCAGGTCAGCGACCAGTACGAGTGACAACAGTTGCACCAGCGTTCTCATCACATGCGGGCCCCGTAGATTCCCATGCCCAGCTGCTGCGACCACGTCCATTTAGGCTGCTTCCAATCTGCTTATTTTATTATGGACGTCTGGATGGAGTGCAGCCGTTCGCTGCAAAAGAAAGACAGACACCAGAGAAATAAAAACAATCAGCTGCTCGCGCATGACAAGTAAGGGCAGCGCACTGGCGGTAGGCAATATCAAAGAATGACGAGTGTGATTATCTGTGTTCTCTATGCTCTGCCCTTTACTCGCTATTATCGACTCTCTACTCAACTCTGCATCCTCACCCTCTACACTGGATGTGTATACATCGAATTATGCATGTATGAAAGAGCGCGTTCTGTGGTCGCTTGGAGGGGTCGGGGGGGTTGGAAACCCGCCCCCTCCCCCCTCCTGGATGGAGGGGGGTGGGAGGGGTTCGACCCACCCCCCCTCCCGTGACGGAGGGGGGGGGCTCGAACACCCCCCCCCTTCCCTCCCTCTCCTCTTTCCGCGGGCCCGGCGCCTGCGTCGGCGGGCGGCGGCTGGCGGCGGCGGCGGGGACGACGATTTCCTTTTCTAGGCCGGCGCCCGCGCCTGCGGCGGCGGGCGGCGGCGGCGGGGAGCGTCGACGAGGACGACCGGGGTGGTGGTGGTGGTGGTTGGTTGCGGTGGTGGTGGTGGCGGTGGTGGTGGTGGCGATGGTGGTTGTGGTGGTAGTGGTGTGGTGGTTTGTTGTGGTGGTGGTGGTCGTGGTGGTGGGTGGTGGTGGTGAAAGATCTGATCTTTGGGTTCTGCTCTATGCTACCTGCTCTCTCTTGTATGATATATCCCCTGCTCTTTCTGCTCTCTCTACTCGTTATACTCTCTCCCTCTCTTTCTCTGCCCTCTCTGCTCTCTGTAGGTTTAGAATTCTGGGCGCCTGTGAACCCAGCCGCCCACTAGAATCTGTCACTAAAACCTGGAAGCCCAGCCGGCCACCGAACGCCTGCACACTTGAGTCAACTCCTTGCAGCAAGGGGAACCCGGGACCCGTGACATGGAACGGGCGGGCCAGGCCGCCTACGGAAGTCGGCCCAGCATTTTCGCCGGAGCAAGTCGCACCCCTCTCGCGCACCCATCGCTTGATATTAAGCCGGGCATGTCCTTCTACAGGAGGAATTTTCAAGACTAGTCTACAACTAGTCTGGGGACGATTGTTTGACTACTGTTGCCTATGTTTGAACATTTTTGGCAAAGTTGCCATTTGTCTGCCAACATCCGCGTATAGGAGGACATGCCCGACCTAAGCTGAATATGGTTCCGCTGCCCGGCGAGTCCCCCACCGCGTGCGGGTGGCCGCTTGGGAGAGGTGATGGGCCTGGGTGGCAGGGGGTGGCCGGCAGGGCGGAGCCCGCGGACCCTTCTACACGCGGCTTGGGATGTCGGCTTCATGCTTGCACGTGGGACGCAGGGAGTTGGTCCGAAAGCGAGCGCGAGCGGCGAACATCTCTGCATCCGCGCCCTCGCGGTCTGGATTCGGGGGCGCGGTCCCGCGGATCCGCGGTCGCACAGATACGTTCCGCGCGGGGCATCCTCGAAAAAACACCCCGTATCCGCGGGGTCGCAGCCCCAGGGCCCTGCCCGCGAGGCTGCAGATACGGATATGTTTTTGGCCCAGACGAACACATGTTGGGCTCTACTTGTCGGAGGGCTTCGCAGGAAGCGAGACGAACGAGGACCCAAGGCGGCCCCACCCGCCAACCGCTGCAAACGTGCCGGCGCACGCCTCAAAGTGAGCCTCAGTCCAAGAGGGTTGGGCCGATCTGGGCAGCGCTCCAGGCCGGCGGTTCAGGGGGACTGAACTTGGTATGGAAGCAATGGACAAAACGTTCAACAGCGGTTCTTATTATTACGATCAGACTTTGCTGTCGGCGGCGCCGCGGTCGTTGTCCATCTGAGACACACTCGCCTGCCCAACAGCAGCCGCTGTCGGTGTTAGACGACATTTGTTGGTGGGCATCGTGCCCATCATTCCCGTATCCATTTCGGGCGTTAAGAGCGGTGAGGCAAGCGGGGCCCTCTGCAGCAGCTCCGAGAGACGATTTTACCTCAAGTCCATATCATCCGCGCCTAATCTTACCTGCACCGAGCCATCATATGCGAGTAGAGATCTGTGCGTGAACGTGCCCGATGCGCGCTCCCGTGTTCGGGCCGATGCCCGTCTGGTGGGCGGTCGCGTCGCTGTGCGTGGCCGCCCTGGGGGCCGAAGCCCGAGCCCTCGATGCCACACGCACGCTGGGGCAGCAGTGGGCCTTCATGGCCGGCGCCGACGAGGGTGTCCCTCTGAACTGCGGCTCCGCCGCGGGCTGCGGCGTCGCACCCGAGCCCCGCGGCGGAGACGCGGCGCAGGTGGGGCTGCTGCAGGTGGCCGCGGGCGGCCCGGGCGAGGGGGCGTCTGGCACGTACGTCGTGGGGGTGCTGCTGGGTCTGATGCTCGTGGCCCTGCTGCCGATCCTCTACTACCAGGGCCTGTCGCCCTTCCTGGCGGTGGTGTCGTACGTCGGCTGCCTGTGCATGGTCAAGATATGCGTGAAGGATCTGTTCATGAACGGCTACGAGTACCCGTACACTGTCACCATGTTGCACATGCTGTTCACGTCGATCTTTGCTTCCATGATCGACCCCCCCAGTCTCTCCGAGGGCAGGTCCACGTTCATGCTGTCCTTGGTGAAGGCGGCGTCCCTGGGTATGAACAACATGGCCCTGGTGTTCGGAAGCGCCGCCTTTGTGTCCATCATCGGCTCCTGCACGCCTGCGACCACCTACTTCGTCGAGCTCGTGAGACACCGCTCCCCGACCTTCGCTCGGAGCCTCGGGGTGGCCACGGTGTGCGGCGGGACGATGCTGTGCGTCCACGGCGACCCGACCTTCTCCGCGCTCTCCCTGGTCCTCGCCGTGGGCGCCTGCTTCTCCAGGAGCCTGAAGGCCGTGTGGAGCCACGACCTGCTCTCAGTCAACATGAGCGCGTACCGCCTGGCCGCGTGGAGCTCCATCTGGTCCTGCGCCTTCATGCTGGTCCCAGCCCTGATCATGGAGGGTGTGGAGCCGTACCGCAAGTTCACGACGCTGTCGCCCCACGCCAAGATGGTCCTGGTGGCCTCGTGCCTGATTGCCACCTGGCTGAACATCGTCATGTGCTTCTGCCTCAAGTACCTGGGCCCGGTGCAGCAGAACGTGTTCGGCCAGTTGGAGCTGCTGGCTGTGATCATGCTGGCGACCGTGCTCCTGCACGAGGTCGTCACCGTCATCGAGTGGGTTGGCGTCCTCCTCATAATCGCTGGCTGCCTTTTCACCAAGCTTGACGACCAGATCCACAAACTGAAGAAGAGGTTCTTCGACACGTCGGGGAGCAAAGACGAGACCCAGAAGTTGATGCCGTAGGGGCGCGGGTGCGAGAAGAAAGAGATGGATGGGGTCAGGGACTGAAGGGTCATTGCCGCGTCGTGCACAGCCATACATCGTTGTTGCGGTTCGTCGTCCCTCCTCTCCTCTGCTCCCTGTCTTGCGCGCTCCATGCCAATTCGCGACCATTGTGCTTTTTTTCCCAGGACTGGTTCGCTCACCATCTTGGGAGCAGGTTGTCCTTGTTTGACCCACTAGCCTGGGAGCATGTGTGGGGGCGTTGCTGATGAAAAGCGCACCTGTGCTGGCATCCCTGGGCTGACAGGACCAGACGTCACAGCTACATCACAGGGGAACAGGAGAGCCAGGTAGAGGGACGACAGACAGCGGCGCCAGAGACCGGTATAAGGAGGAAGAGCAGGAGGGATGAGGAGGAGGCAGAGGAAGAGAGGAGGAGCATGAGGAAGACGTGAAGGAGGAGTCCGAGAAGAGCAGTAAAAGACGGGGGCGAGGAGAGGGAAGGGGGAGGAAGAGAAAGGAGGAAGGAGGAGGAAGGGAGGAGGATGGGAGGGAGGACCCAAGGAGGGAACGAGGAGGAGGAGGAGGAGGAAGCGGAGAGGGAAGGGCGAGGGGGAGGAAAGCAGAGGTGGACAAACCCAGGGTCCCCGAAACGCTTGCCAGATGAAGGCGTAGGGAAAGTGAATACGCATACTTGGATTTGCGCCGCAGGCCTGTGGGACAGACGGAGCACGCTTCGGACCCAACCTGGGTGCCCAGAGCACGACAAGGAGCCCCATACCAGACGTCAGACGTGGAGCGCAGCTGCAGAGCAGGCGCGATGAGCACGGGTGCAGGCCCCGTGCTGCCAGGCCTCTGCGTCAGCAGCACTGGCGGCCACTCTGCGGAGAGACAGCGGAGGGCCGCGCCGCGTCGCTCGTCGGGGCCCCTCCTCTGTGCCGCTGCCCGTCGCCGCTCTCGCGGGCCGCCGATGTCCCTCGCCTCTTCCGCGTCGCCCCGCCCTCGACTCGCAGGCCTAGAGATTGACACCAACACCAATATCGGCGGTGTGCACCCACCGAGGGAGGAAGATCCCGATCTCGGTGATGGTGGTAATATTCTGGCTTCCAGGGTGGCCGAAATATTGCCACCAACACCGAAATCGAGGATCGTGTTCCCCCTGTGGAGGCAACCCCTTGTGTTGGTGTTGGTGCCCATTTCTAGGCCTCCAATCGACGCTCCCCCCGAGACGGGCGCGCCCTCCTCGCCGCGAACGCCCACCCCCCCCCGGGCAGCACGCGCGCGGAGGGGGGAGGGCGCAGCCCGCAGGCGTCCACGAGCCGAACAGCTCGAGGGCCTGTCCGGGAGCCAGGCCGGTGCACCCTCTCTGCCTCCCTGGCTCGCTCTCTCTCTCTCTCTCTCTCTCTCTCGTTCTCTCTCTCTCTCTCTATCTCTCTCCTTCGTTCTGTCTCTCTCTCTCTCTCGCTCTATCTCCCTTTCTCTGTCCTTATCTCTCTCTTTCTCTGTCTCTCTCTCTCTCTCTCTCTCTTTCTCTCTTTCTCTCGCGCTCTCTGTCTCTCTCTCTCTCTCTCTTTCTGTCCTTCTCTCTCTCTCTCTCTCTCTCTCTCTCTCCCGGTCTCTCTCTCTCTTTATGTATGTATCTCTTTCTCTCTCTCCCTCCCTGTCTGCATCTCTATCTATAGTTATAGATATGTGTGTCTCTCTCTCTTTCTCTCTCTCTCTCTCTCTCGCTGTGTCTCTCTCCCTCCTTTTATTTATATGTCTCTGTCTCTCTCTCTCTCTCTCTCGCTCTCTCTCTCTCTCTCTCTCTCTCTCTCTCTCTCTCTCTCTCTCTCATATATATATAATTAAATGCATGTATGTATCCGGCTCTCTCTCTCTCTCTCTCTCTCTCTCTCTGCTTACCTCTCTATCCCCCTCTATATCACTTTGTTGCTCTTGCTCTCTCTCTCTCTCTCGTTATGTTTCGCTGTCTCTCTCTCTCTCTCTTTCTCTCTCTCTCTCTCTCTCTCTCCTCTCTGCTCTCTTTTGTATGTTTTCTCTCTCTCTCTCTCTCTCCCTTTCTCTCTCTCTCTCTATCTCTCTTTCTCTCTCTCTCTCTCTCTCTCTCTCTCTCTCTCTCTCTCTCTTTCTATATATATATATATATATATATATATATATATATATCTAGGTCAGAGGCCTCATATCATGCTCCCGCGTCCTACGGGTTGTTGAGGTCTATGAGGCCTCTTTCGAGGGCCACCTGTTGGCCGCCTTTAGTGGAAAAAAAGTCATGCGGGAGGCGCCCAGGGAAAAGCGGGAGGCACGCTGGGAAGCCCGGAAGGTTTAAGATTTGGGGCGTCGGGCTACGGCATACTCAATCCTGGGGAATGAGGGCCGAGAGCTTCAAGGGACTTGAGGGCGGACATCTATGAGGCGGTCCAGAACGAGCCTCGCTTTCGAGGACCGAAAGACTTGTCACCTCTTCCTCGGCGAAAGGCGGCGGAAGCTGGCGAAGGTAAAACAAGGCCGCCTCCGCTAGTGGAGGCTGGCGGAAGCCGGCGGACGTAAAAGCCGGTCCCCCAAGAATGGCAACCTTTTTGGGTTCAGGGTTTGCCGGACATATACATGCACCAGGCAGCGTGTGAACAACAGTCTTCACTGTGAAAACAAGGGGTGCAATCTATGTGATGCAAAAGAACGTTGTAAGATCTACGTGGTGCATTTTATGTGGGGTAATTTACGTGGTGCAATATATGTGGTGCGCCCTATGTTATGCAGTCTTTGTTGTGCAATATACATTGTGTAATATATGTTTGCAACGTATGTGGTGCAATCTATGGTGTGCAGTCCACTCTGCTGAACTTGAAGTCGTCATCTCCACTGCTCGCGCAAACATC